CAGTGGTGGTCTTCTCGTTGAGACGTCTGTAGTCCACACAGAACCGGGTGGTCCCATCTTTCTTAGGTACCAGGACTACAGGCGAAGCCCAAGGGCTGTTGGAGGGCTTAATGACTCCTAACTGAGTCATCTCCTGTAACTCCTTCCGCATTCCTTCTCGGACTGGTTCAGGGATACGGTAGGGGGGTTGTCTCAGGGGTGCCTGTCCGGTGGTTTCTACCTTATGCACAGTTAGGGTGGTATAACCTGGTTCCTGAGAAAAGGTCACCCTTTTCTCCCATAGCAGCCATTTAGCCTGCTCCTTTTCCGAAGGGCTCAACCGTTCTCCTAGCTGTACAAGGCTCGTCAAGTCCGTCTGGGGTTCCCATTCTAGTAAGTCAGGGAGAGGTAGGTTCTCGGGATCATCGGTAGCGGTGGCACATACAGCAGCAACATCCTCCTGCCTTTCTTGATATTCCTTCAGCTTGTTCACATGAAAGGACCGCTGGATCGGCTACACGAGAGAAGGGTTCCCCAATAATAGGCATGGACATAAGTCTAGCCTTAGGGTGGTCTCCTGTGTCGCACGTGCTACAATATTGTCACACAGCCTGGTTGAAATTGGGCCAAAATAAATTCTGGGTGATTCTGTAGGCTGTGCTACGGGACCCTAGATGTCCTGCTAGCGGCACATCATGCCCAATTCGCAGAATCTCCTGCCGGTACTTGGCGGGCACCACCAGCTGTCGCCTCTGCGAAGGGGCTTTATTCCCTGGGGAGGGTTTAGGGATCCTATATAATCTATCCCCCACCCACTCAAAGCGTTCCCCGTCTATCACTTCCTCCTGGGCATCTGCCTTAGCCCTATATTTCTGTAAGGTTGGGTCCTCCCGGGTCTCCCTCCCAAATGCCTTAGGGGTATCCCAGTCTAGAGGGACCTGGTCTAGCGTACAAGTCGGGGAAGACAGTCTTACCTGGGACTCAGCAGCAGGTGGGCCGGTTTCAGCAGCCCGAGCCTGGGCACGTGTGGTCACAGGGTTGGCTTCCGCAGAACCTATCGGAGTGTAGGCAGAAACCAGGGGGGCCAAATCATTTCCCAATAGTACGTTGGCTGGCAGGTCTTTCATCAGCCCCACATTAACATGTCCCAAACCAACTCCCCAATCCAAGTGAACCCGGGCTACAGGTCGAAATATAGTGCCTCCAGCTACCCGCACAGCAACAGTGTCCTCAGTGTGTTGACTTTCAGAGATCAAATTTTTCTGTAACAAAGTCATAGTGGCACCAGTGTCCTTTAATCCGCTGGCAATCTTCCCGTTGATTTTGACGGTCTGGCGGTGTTGCTGCCTGTTGTCCCAGTTAGCAGCCTGTACAGGATCTGCCTCATGCAGAATACCCCAACATTCCTCTTCTTCCACACAGTGGGCAGCCAGCGTCACTGTGCGGTGGTTGCTCTCTGCTGGCCTTCTCCAAGACTGGGACTGCCTGGATGAATTCAATGGGCAATCCTGCCTCCGATGCCCTACCTGGTTGAAGCCAAAACACCTCAGGGGTTGGGAATAGCTCCGAGCATTAATTTACAATGTCCTCGTCTGGTAGGGCCCGAAATGCTTCACTGGCCTGACCCGATAACTTCCCAGACAAGATAGCGAACCATTCATCTGTGGGTACCCGGTGCAGGGCAAACTGCCTTTCAAAATCGGCCCATCAATCTCCTCATCAGCTTCACTGAAATTCTTAAAAGCAGCAAAAGGTACTTTTCTCTTTTCTGGTGCAGTGGGTATTTCAGCTGCTGCAGTACCTCTTTGCTGAAGGTGTTGCTGATTAACCTCCACAGCTGCTATTACACGTTCAATTATATCTGCTGAGGGGTTGGGGCCAAAATGTGCCAGACTTATGGGGACTGCCCGGTCAAAGCTTGCCTCCTCGGGTGTCCTGTCTGTGATGCTGGGTCTTTCGCTGTTATCCATTTCCAGCAGTTCTGCAATAATGTCCCTTTTCTTCCTGTTACTTGCTGAGCGGCCACGGCTCTCTAGTAAATCCTTAAGGGTAGAGCGTTTCAGTTGTTCATATTGTAATTCCATCCGTCTGTGGCTCTGTAGCTGACCTCCTGGGCTGTAGGAACATCCCTCCGCTTTCCACCAATTGTTACGGCTCCCCCGGTAGGAGAGGGGTTACTGCCGTATAGGACGTTCCCTTACCAAATACAGAGGTAGCTACTGAGCGCTCCAAGTGACCGAACAGCAATCACACGAACCCGTTGGTCTCCAAAAACAGCCGAACAACAATCACACGAATCAGTCAGTCTCCCAAATAGTCGAACAAGCATAATCCATACGAATAATCCCCCTGTAACGGCTACACTGGTGTAGTGAGGGTACCAGCCGTTGGGGACGTCCTTTTCTTCCCGGCAGTCGCTGTGTAGTGGTGGAGTCGCATGGAGAATGCTTACAAAATACCGAATGGCTTTATAATCCATAGGTCTTTTACAGTCAGACTGTGCTTTTTGTTACAACCCCCAATGACGAGACAAAGCTCCATATTGAGGGTCAGCAAGGATCTGTTTTACTGAGGGCTACCTGCCCGGTATTTATGCAGGTCTCCCACCTGGTGGACACTCTCCCGGGGCTTCAAGCTTAGATAACTTTTCTACCTAATGGATCAACGTCTCTGAAGTTTAATAAATCACCAGGCATGATAGCGGTATGGGAGACTGTGACAAGGACATTACAACAACCAATCACAGTGTTACACATGCAGCCATGCCCCTTTAATTACCCAAGACCCTCTGCTCTGTCCGGGAGATTATTGTGAAGTAATTCAATTATCTCCCTGGACAGAGACCAAACGCCATTTTAAATTACTATAACAAAATGCATAAAAATATATAACTTTACAATAACTGGTCATAATGCAGGCATTCAACGTGTCCCCAGATAGCTGGGATCTGAGCACACAAAAGTACCGAAAAGCGCTCAGATTCAATGCACACAGTCCAATCGCCGTGGAGTCAAAGTGTTCACAAAGTCTGTTCTCCATACGAATAGACTCCACGGGATGGCTATCTGGGGTATGGCTTATTCGTGGACAAAATACCAAATACAGGGATTTTCGGGAGTTCTCTACCGAAGGAGAAGGGAGGTCGGCGGCTTCAGCGGTGTTCGGGCCAAAAAGAGGTTAACCAGCAGCACACTTCGCTATGGGTGGCTGGCCATTTGGGAGTTTTATTCGGTAGTAAAAATAGGGAATGGTATAGAGTCCACATGAACGAGAAACATGAATTAAACCAGTGAATGAACGATACGTCTCTGTAAGTTCAAGACAGAGGGATCTGTCACACTTGCATTCTAGGAGGCCATTTTGTTAAGCACCAGTTCCTTTATATGTCGGAGTGTCCAGTTCAACTTCTAGGACGAGATCTACTATCAAAGCTTCAAGCTTAGATAACTTTTCTACCTAATGGATCAACGTCTCTGACGTTTAATAAATCACCAGGCATGATAGCGGTATGGGAGACTGTGAAAAGGACATTACAACAACCAATCACAGTGTTACACATGTAGCCATGCCCCTTTAATTACCCAAGACCCTCTGCTCTGTCCGGGAGATAATTGTGAAGTAATTCAATTATCTCCCTGGACAGAGACCAAACGCCATTTTAAATTACTATAACAAAATGCATAAAAAATATATAACTTTACAATAACTGGTCCTAATGCAGGCATTCAATGTGTCCCCAGATAGCTGGGATCTGAGCGCACAAAAGTACCGAATAGCGCTCATATCCTATGCACACAGTCCAATCACGGGATGGCTATCTGGGGTATGGCTTATTCGTGGACAAAATACCAAATACAGGGATTTTTGGGAGTTCTCTACCAAAGGAGAAGGGAGGTCGGCGGCTTCAGCGGTGTTCGGGCCAAAAAGTGTCCGTTTTGAGTTCCATGGGTTTACCGTCGAACACAGCTGAGCGTTTGCGTATTTAAAATGGCCGCAACCTCGTGTACGAATGGCAGCCACCCAGCTACAGGCATCAATTAAAAGGTGTCTGCGGTTAACCTCAACGTTCGAATGGGGCCAAGAGGTTAACCAGCAGCACACTTCTCTACTGGGTGGCCGGCCGTTCTGCAGTTTTATTCGGTAGTAAAAAAAGGGAATGGTATAGAGTCCACATGAACGGGAAACATGAATTAAACCAGCGAATGAACGATACATCTCTGTAAGTTCAAGACAGAGGGATCTGTCACACTTGCATTCTAGGAGGCCATTTTGTTAAGCACCAGTTCCTTTATATGCTGGAGTGTCCAGTTCAACTTCTAGGACGAGATTTACTATCAAAGCTTAGATAACTTTTCTACCTAATGGATCAACGTCTCTGAAGTTTAATAAATCACCAGGCATGATAGCGGTATTGGTGCCAAAAGAAGAAGAATGGTGTTTCTATACTGTAATAATAAATGCAAACCCTAAGAGTGATGGAACTTTATTTGACATTCCAGGAGTATGGGCAGAGAATAATCCTCCAGGACTTGCTCGTAACATCCCACCAATACATATTGAGTTAAAGCTTGGGGTGTATCCTGTTAGCCTTTGTATGTTGTTCTTTTATCTACCCCAACAGCATTTTGGTGGCAGAGGTGACTCCTTGGATCCATCACTCTAGGGGTAAACCAGCGGAAGATTCCTGGCAAGCTACTCCAGATCCTGAGAATCCTTGCAAGATCCGTTTGAAGCGCATAACCCAGTTGGATTGAACGTGTCGTGAGAAAAAGTACGAGGGGATATCGGGACATACTCTTTGATGGCCATAATAAAGCCTGACCACCTGCCTACTTGTTATAGTCAGAGTGTGAAGGTAAGTGAGGATCAGAAGGACAACAATCCTTGCAGCCCTCACAAGCGGGAAGCTGAGGTGCCATCGCACGGTCGAAGAATAAGATGTGCACCACAAGAATGATGTGCTTAATTATGTGTTTTAGTATTTTTATAATTTTTCAGGAAGGTAAAGGTGAGGATATTCCAGGCTGTGTTAGTTGTATAAAGACTACGAAAACAGGTAACCAAATATCCCAAACTCTTATTTGGCACTCACAGGAAGAGTGTAGAGGATCCGTGTCTTAATGTAGATATCTAGATACTGATTATAGTGTGTGCTAACCAATATCAGGAGATCCTAAATGTTTCGATCCCCAATTCCAACCCCGTACAATTTGGTTGGTAATTCGGAATAGTAACTCCCAGGGGACCTTAATAAATAGGACTGTGATAAGCACAATACATTCTACAGGTATTCTATTATTTGATGCATGTAAGGCGATTTCGGGTAGCATAAAACCTTGGAATGTATGCGGTAATCTTAAATGGGAACGGACTTTTAGGTTTAACGATAAGTATTTATGCCCTAGCAAAAGATCTACTGATCCTGATTGCCCAATTAGAGACTTTAACTTCTGTCCATATTGGTCAAGTGTAGGTTGGGCGACATGGGGAAAAACAGTAGATCAAGATTTGATTATCCAAAGGTTGACCACTGCACCGTATTGTAAAACTACGGAGTGTAACCCCATGCATTTGACCATTTCTAATCCACAGCACTTCATTGACAAGTTTGGGAATCTCTTTGGGTTTCAGATACATGGTACAGGAGTAGATCCAGAGACCATAATATACGAAGGTCTTGAAACAGACGATAGCTACTCAAACTCATCAGGTTTTTTATTCCTTCTATGAGGAGATGAGTGTTGAGGATAACATTCCCCATAATGTTAAGAACCTATTTATTAATTTGGCTGAGAGTATTGCGGGTAGTCTTAATATAACTAACTGCTTTGTATGTGGAGGCACAAATATAGAAAATCAATGGCCATGGGAGGCAAAAGAAGTATGGTACCCTGGTTCTGAGACAGTTGAACAACAGATGCCTTCTCAGTCTGATCATCAAGTAAATGTAAGGGAAAAATCAGAATGGCGTTTAAAGACATCTATAATAGGCCATGTATGTTTAACTAGAGGAGGTCCAACTTGTTACAAACTGTTATTTGTAACGGGCCCTTTAAATGGCAAATTGCCCTGCTTCCCTGGGTTGTGGAGAAGTAGGGCATGGGGAGTTGGAGAGTTAACATGTTTGGGACAGAATGCCGATAGTAAAGATACTACTTGGTGGTCAGCTTCAAATGTCTCGTAACCTACTAATCCGTTTGCCAATTACACCAATTTGAAAGAAGTTTGGTTTGATCTATCTGCTATCTAATTGGAGAGCCCCATCGAATTTGTACTGGATCTGTGGTAAAAAAGCATTCTCTGAGTTACCACAAGATTGGGAAGGGGCATGTGTGCTAGGTATGCTCAAACCATCCTTCTTCTTGTTGCCAATTGAAACAGGAGAGACCTTGGGAGTTAAGGTTTATGATGTGAATCATAAAAAGAAACGAGGATTATTGAACATAAGTAGTTGGGAAGATGATGAGTGGCCTCCCCAGCGTATTATTAATTATTATGTACCTGCTACCTGGGCGGAAGATGGTACATACGGATATAGAACCCCAATATATATGCTCAACCGCATTATAAAATTACAGGCGGTGGTTGAGATCATACCCAACGAGACGGCTGAAGCACTTAACCTTTTGGCTAAGCTGAATGAGATCAGCTGAATGAGATCAGCCATTTACCAAAATAGGCTGGCTCTTGATTAATTGCTGGCAGTAGAAGGAGGTGTATGCTGAAAGTTTAACCTCAGTAATTGTTGTCTGCATATAAATGATGAAGGGCAGGCAGTGGCTGATCTTGCAAGCCACATGGTTAAACTGACGCATGTACCTACTCAGGTCTGGAACGGGTTTAATCCAAATAGTTGGTTCAGGAGTTGGTATGAGCGGCTTGGTGGGATTAAAGCATTAATAGGAGGAGTATTGTTTATTATATTCTTATGCCTCCTCCTGCCCCTAATCCCACTAGTGGTCAGGTCTATACGCAGTGTTATAGAGAGCACTATAGAGAGAAAGACAGCTGCCCATGTAATGGCTGTCTGGAAGTATGAACCCCTAGCCCAAAGAGAGAATAATCAGGATGAGGAATGTTGAGAGAGCACGAAGTTAAGTTAGAATGATTACAAGGTCTGTACTGGTTCATGGTTACTTGAGTGGTGTTGGTAGATTATGGTTAGTGATGCATCTGGAATAATGTTATATCAGAGGCATCAAAGGGGGGAATGTGATGGGATTCCAGCATGGTCAAAATTTAGTAGGCCAAAATCTCCACATGGCATATGCTAATTAGTATCTGATTACAAACAGTTGGATGAGTCATCAGTGTACTGAGCATGTGCAGAAGTGGATAGTACATTCCTTTGTCTGTAAATACCATGTGGTCTGCCCATATAAGATGATCCTGAATATCCTGTGTGCGGATTGGTCTGAGGAATATAGGAGGGGTTATACTGTATGGGAGGGGATATGCTGCTAACAAAAGGCCTCTGCACCATGCTTTGTCTCTCAGATATTTTTGGAACAGGAGTTCATCTGAGACCCGATCGATGTGTAAATAAAAGACCTGTTACTTCCTGAATAGACTTGTGTCCATCTCTCTATGTTTGGCTTCTGCAATTGATTATGGTAACAATGACTAAACTAAATTGAAGAGAACTAGAAATGTTTTTTGTTTGTTTCTTTCTTTTTTCTTCTCTCTTGCGGCCCGGACTGGAAGGGTGTCAGTATAAGTATGTAGAAAAGAGACGTTCTATAAGACAAATAAAATGTTTCTGGTCAATAGATAGGAGCCTCAGTCCCATGGTACGCACTCCAAGTGAGTCTAAAAAACATGCATTAATGTTGAGTACAGGGGGGGGGGGTGAGGGGTGGATCTCACTACCTCATGTACATTATATGTTATGTGTTGTTTATTGTAAGTGGGTACAAGAGGGTGGTCCTTTACCTAATGTACTATATATGTTATTTGTTGTTTATTGTAAGTGGAAGATGCCATGCTGGTTAGAAGGGGAGCACATAAAAATATTGACTGACACCCACCCATGGTTAGGTGGATGATTATCAATGTTCGGGGGTTGAATACTATCTTCAAAATAAATATTTTATCTAAAACATTATACAAAGTGCACATAGATATTTGTCCAATTCAAGAATCTCATTGGTCCAGAGAAACAAAGCAAAAACAAAGAAATTGAACATATAATGTCAGCAGAATCCTCTTTGGTTTAAAAAAAAAAGAGAGGGGTAGTTGTCTTGATTTCGGAGAAATTTAATTATGAAGAAGTAATGTTAGAAGTTGATCACGAAGCGAGGGCTATTATTTTAGTATGTCGGTTGAATAAAAATCTATATACAATTGTAAATTTATATGCCCCCAATTAGTCCCCACAAATCTTTCTGAGGAAAATACTGAATAGACTGGATGTAGTAAAGCAAGTTAAATTGATAATGACAAGCGACTTTAATATGATCCTCAACGTAGGTATGGACAAAAGGCTCCTCAAAGAAGCTAGATGCTCCAAGGAACTAGTTAACCAATCTATAAAGTTTCCTAAATATTTCCTAAATTCTGTTTTGCCTCAAGTTTCATTATATGTCTAAAATCACTAATAAAGTACCTGAAGTCAACCCTGGCATAAGTCTCCTATCTGACCTGCACAAGATCATGACAAGTACTCTTGGACATCTGCAGTTGTTCAGCATGTGCCAGAACAATGTTTCTGCGAAGATGTTGAATAACATAGGACTACTTTTAGTCCCTAAAGTGAGCTTAGTAGTAAAATAATACTGGTCTTCCCACTTAACCTCGTGCAGATGCCAAAGAGAGGGATGAATTGGTAAGAGTTTGAATGCATTAGCTATGTCGGTTTTACACAGCCATGCTCCTCTGCTAGCGTTGATGATAGCAGCAATGGCATCTCCACTTTAGCGTATTGAAGAGAAAAATCCTCAGAAGGCATTCGTGAGATTAGGCTAGCTGTGGTGGACGAATAAGGAGCCGAACAATCAATTATCAAACAAAGTTTATTTAGTGGGTAGGTTCTCCAGCTAGAAAAAGGTAGAAGATTGAAAGGGCCAATCATGAAGCCTAGCTCGAGTTCTTTTGGGTTTAGTGAAGACACAGCTTGTGGGTTATGCAAAGCGGATTGAAGATTCAGACAATCGAATGTCTGTGGGGGAATTATGACTAATCCTATGTAAAACCCGTGAGTGAAATCATCTGGGAGAAATTCAATTATGTAAGGTGTTATGGGCAAATGCAAATATTACAAGTTTTAAAATGAAATGTTGTATTTCTTAAACTGTGTACTTTGTCTTTAAGAGATATTGCAAACTGACAAGGTGTTAGAAATGGAACATATTGTTTTTCATAACTGTTTCTTTAAGCAATAACCTCAGTGCATAATATGTTTGCGCCATTTTGTCCCAGACGAAATACAATAATGCATAAACAAGCTTCAAGGCTATACTACGACTCTTTCAGTACACAATATACTGTGGTAACCTTAAGTAGATAAGGATGTCCAGACTTTAAGATGCCATCTTGAACTAAGTCAGGAAAATTTCCATGACGTTTGCACCCTTTAGTTATGGCCTTGTATGTTTGCCAAGTTAAGGGAGGTCCTAAATTGAATAAAGTAAAAGAAGTGTTACTTTTTCATATTTGAACTACAGTAACCTAAAATGGAGACACCTAAGGTATAAATAGGTGTACTTTTAAATGTTAAGACACAGAGGAGAGACTTGGAGACAGACGCTGCTCCATCTTAAAATGACAGAGAGGCTGACATGATGACATGTTCAGAAGGGTATGTTAACCTATTAATGATATTTGCAAGCATGTAATTTAATCTTATAAACTCTGCTATAATGGATTTTATATTTATATTTTTATATAATAAATATCCAAAAGACAATCTTGCTTCCAAGACAATCCTTATTTTATATTGTATTCTAAATTATTTATATATGTTAAATAGAGGATCTCTTACATTATATAAAATTATGGCTAAGATATCTGTATGGTTAGCCCTACTAAGTTCTATGCTTTAAGACATTATAGTGGTAAATAAAGGAACCACATGCGGTTACAAAGGTACAGGGTAATGTAACAAACAGTGCTACAAAGCTGTGAAATTAACTGGTGACAGTCATTGCCTTGGGAACAATCAATTAGGGCTATGTGGCTGTCGTTGCTAGGAAGACAGGGAAATAGATTGAGGAGTCTCGAAATAAATGACCTGACTTAAGGGATAATCCTCACTGCAAAATAAAGGGGGCCTAGCAGACATTGTAGTTCTTGTGACTACATGAACCTAGCTGGTTAACGTGAGATAAAATGTGGTTAAGTTTATATCTGGGGAGGCAGGATTCCATGGCCACTGAGCCCAGCTGGATAACCAAAAATGTATTATTGTATCTGGGACCTCTGTCTTCGATGGGAATAGTGGGACACCAAACTGTTCGATTAGTGTAATAGCGTCTTGTATACTACATGGGGGTAGGTGTTGCTTTCAATGGTGAGGACATCATCCAAGTACTTAATGACAGAAGGGTATTTACATGCGATAAGCAAAAATCAGCACAAGGTTTCTGCAAAGATACAAAAAAACAAAAAGAAGTTTTGGCTGCTTTTAGAACCAAAAGTAAGTTGGGAGAAAATATAAAATAGGCCTCTCCACTTAATGCCATGGAGATGCCAGAGTGATGAGTGTATGGGAAGTAGTTAGATAGTGTTCAACAGGTCAGTATTACTGAGTCAAACACCTACGCCGGGCATGAATATAGCATTGATGGCGATGTCTATCGTTGTGCACTGTAGTGAGGATTTGTCAGAGGCGATGGTGGAATTTAAACTGAAGCTGTAGAGGATTGAGGATTGGAAAGATTGATGATCCACCGTGTCTTTGTGAGTTTACCTGTTATGATTCCGAATTGATTCGTTCACCAAGGTGAGTAAAGGGGGAACTGAAAAGGATCCAAGAAAAACCTTGTTCTTTTTCCTGCTGTAACAGGATGTCAACAGCATCGAATCTGATGACAGTTCAAAAGATTGTTGCATTTAACAATGCCAGATGGAATATGGATTATACCTGTGTGGAAGCCTTGGGAGGATCCTGCTACTAGGAAATCCACCAAATGTGAAGAAGGGTGATTAGACAACAATTTAGATAAAACACTTCATTTACAGAAGTCAGATAAGGTTTTGGAATTATTTTTTTAGGGCACATGGTTTGAGCATGCACTCTAAGACATTGCGAACAAACATGCAACAGCCTTCAAGCACTAAAACCATAGGTGCCTGTATTGAAGTTATCACAAATGTGGAATTTACCCATGAATACTATTGAATGACCCCATTTGTCTTTAATACCTTTGTCAGTTCTGTTAGAAGTGTTAGGAAGGGATAGGTAGTTGGTAGTAACATCAGAGCTGTTAAGACAAAGGTTAGCCATACAATTGCACAGGTTTGAGTCCTGAGGCCTGCAAAGTGTCTACAAAAGAGTTCAGTGTCCCATTGACTCCAGTCTGTTTTTATATTGAACTGTGTCAGAGCTGCTGCTGCTATTGCTGAAAAATATCGGTGGTAATCGTAAAACTATGAACCCCCATTTTTGTGCCCCAGATTCACCAACTTGTGCAAATAAAGATCAAATTTCAGGCTCCTATGTGGATAAGTAGAGCAAATTATGTCTAAATAAATACTGAAAGCCAATACAAATTCAGGAATAACCAGCTTATATTGAGACTTGGATCCCTGGTTAGAGAAAACCACTATAATATTGGCTCTTTACTAATGCCAAGTGGCAAAACAAATTCATTAGTTTGGTGAGAGATGAGGCCCTACT